GTTCTGGAACAGCTTCAGGATGTGGTTCTCCATCACCTGCTGCACTGAGGGTGGCAGAGGGGTGGAATTCAGGGAAGCTGCTCCGGGAAGGAGCCGGTCACCGTTTCCCTCTTGTTTTCTGAGGGGAAAATCCTTGTTTTCTGAGGGGAAAATCCTTTTTTTTTCTGAGGGGAAATCCCTGTTTTCTGAGGGAAAACCCTTATTTTCTCAGGGGAAAGCCCACATTTTCTGAGGGAAACCCATATTTTCTGAGGCAGAACCCCTGCTTTGCGAGGGAAAATCCCTGTTTTACAAGGAAAATCCCTGTTTTCTGAGGGAAATCCCTCTTTTCCAAGGAAAATCCCTGTTTTCTGAGGGAAAACCCTTATTTTCTCAGGGGAAAACCCACATTTTCTGAGGCAGAACCCCTGCTTTGCGAGGAAAAATCCCTGTTTTCTGAGGAAAAATCCCTGTTTTCTGAGGGAAAAATCCCCGTTTTCTGAGGGAAACCCACCCTTTCTGAGGCAAATATCCCTGTTTTCCGAGGAAAATCCCTGCTTTCCGAGGAAAACCCCTGTTTTCCTCAGGGGAACACTCACCTTTCTTGTGTCCCAGAGCCACGGCCAGGTCCATGGGGGTGTATCCCGAATCCGCCTCCTCCGTCAGGTCAGCGCCGCAGGCTGCGGGGTCGGGAACGAGAGCTTGGGGAAAAGGGACCCCAAAATCCGCCCCTCGCCCCCCGGGATCTGTTCCCGAGGCTGGGAAGCAGCGATTCCAGCGGCGGGGATCACCGGGATTTGTGTCTTACCCAGCAGGGCCTCCACGCACTTGACGTGGTTCCCGCGCACGGCGTAGAGCAGGGGCGTGCCCCCGTTCTGTGGGGAGGGAAAAGTCATTGCCGAGCTCCCGCAGATCCCGGGGCATTCCCTCAGGAGATTCCTGATCCTCCTTTCGTCCTCTCCCAGCTCCAGACTGGGATCTGATGGGATTCCACAGCCGGCCTTGCCCAGTTTGAGGCTGGGACTCACTGGGATCCCATTCCAGCCTGTCCCAGCCCCAAACTGGGATCCCATTCCAAACTGGGATCCCATTCCAGCCTGTCCCAGCTCCAAACTGGGATCCCATTCCAGCCTGTCCCAGCTCCAAACTGGGATTTACTGGGATCCCATTCCAGCCTGTCCCAGCTCCAAACTGGGATCCACTGGGATCCCATTCCAGCCTGTCCCAGCTCCAAACTGGGATCCACTGGGATCCCATTCCAGCCTCTCCCAGCTCCAAACTGGGATCCCATTCCAAACTGGGATCCCATTCCAAACTGGGATCCCATTCCAGCCTCTCCCAATTCCAGTCTGGTGTCCCCTGGCTGTGCTGGTGGCACTGAGGAGGTTTATCCTGGTGTCCCCTCGGTCCTCATTGTCCCTAAAGTCCCCTGTGTCCTCTGCTGTCCCCAGTGTCCCCAGTGTCCCTGGTGTCCCCCACTGTCCCCCTGCTGTCTCTGCTGTCCCCTCACTGTACCCCTGTCCCCACTGTCCCCCCACTGTCCCCTCACTGTCCCCACTGTCCCTTCGCTGTCCCCGCTGTCCCTTCGCTGTCCCCTCTGTCCCCCTGTCCCCACTGTCCCCTCGCTGTCCCCTCTGTCCCTGCTGTCCCCTCGCTGTCCCCTCTGTCCCCGCTGTCCCCTGGCCGCGCAGGTGTCCTCACCCAGTCGTAGGTGTTGATGTCCACGTCCCTGTCCAGCAGCATGGTGACGATGTCGGTGTAGCCGCCCATGCTGGCCAGGGCCAGCGCGCTCTCCCTCTCCTTGGCCAGCGCGTGAGGGTCAGCGCCCTGGGGACAGCCACGGCCGGGGGACACTGCCAGGTGACCCTGACACAGCCACCCCTGCCCGCACCAGAATCCTC